GGCTTGGCCTGGTGTCTGTGTTCACACCACCTAGAAAACGCATTTGGCACAACGTGGAGGCGAGCACTGCGCTGGTGTGTGATGGGGCTGCACCCTGCTCCCTGTCTTCATCAGAAATGGGGTGGAGGAGCCGCTGCTGCACCACAGCCAGCAGGCAGGAGAGCTGACCGTCCCTCTGGTCAGCCCCCGGCTCTGCCCCACTGAGAGCCCCAGAAGTCTGGAACTGTCCCACAGGAGGAGAGAGGAGCCTTGTCTTCCACAGCCTTGTGCACACTGGATGCATCTAGAAGGTGCACACACTGCAATACCAGGAGCGCCCTGGGAGACTCTGGAAACAACAGTTGATGAATGGGAAGGTCTTTATCATCATTTCTTAAATTCAGAGCTCAGCTTTTGAATTCTTAGATGGCAAATAAATTGATGAGCAGAATTTCTCACTACGTTCAATGACAAATGTGTTTGCTCCTTAGTGAGATCCAAAGAATTTCATATTTCTTAGACTCTGCCCGAAGAAATGAGGAAAATTAGAAAGTACTTTTAGAAGAATAAAAACAAGAACTCAATGTATCAAAAATTATGGAATGTACCTGAAGAAGTGTTTGAGGAAAATTTATAGCTGTAAATGCCTATTTTTTAAAAATGATAGCAAATAAATAACACACACTTCCAACTTAGAAAGCTAAACAAAGAAGAGGAAAGGAAACCCAAAGCTACCAGAAATAGGAAAATAGCAGAGGGAAGCAGAAACAAATGAAATAGAGTAGAAAAATCAATGGAATCAAAAGTTAGTTCTTTGAAAAGATCAGTCACATGGACAAACATTTTAGTAGGCTGACAAACAAATGAGAGACGATTCTACATCATTCCTGACCCAATAGATACCAACTAGATTGTGACAGATACCATGAACAATTGCATGCCAGAAAATTGGGTGAGTTGATGAAGGGCTGGAAAATGCAGTGAAGCCCAATGCAAGGTGCCGGGGGTCCGGGGAGGGGAGTGGAGCCTGAGCCAGCACCTGTCCCCAACTCCGCTGTGTCCTTGCCCTTGGGTAGGACATGACTGGCAATGCAGCTCTGTATGTGGACCACTGAAGTGTCCCCCTCCAGCTCAGACTCGGGGAAGCTGTGGACACACAGTTCAGGTCCCCGACTACTGACAAGTCTCTGCTGAGGGACAACCACTTCAGTTCCCATAATGTATTAATTTCTTACAGAAATGCTAAAACCAACTGACTCCACAAATAGTCCGAGAAGTAGGCTTTCATGGTATCAAATGATGTGTAAACTCTGCCAGTATAGGACATTTGCTTCACTTCCAAGCTATGCTAGCATGTAGCAAAGCCTGTTTCCTAATGCAGTCAAGTGATATTGACTGATGCCCAACAATGCTGACTGTGTGGTTGTTAACCTTGACACCAGGCACTGTCCATTATAAAGAAGAAAGCACAGAAAGTCCACACGCCACTATATTTTCCCCAGCAGGTTTGAAGTCGAGTCTACCTTAGCATTTTAGCTTGTCCTTAGAATTGTAAAGAAAACCATTTGCAAAGTCGGTATACTTGTTATCCATGAACACCAACATTAAAACTTCTTTTTTTAAAGTGTAAATCCTGGATCAACTGATCTACACATAAGAAAATATTTTTTTAACAGAAGGAGATTCTGGAAGTCCTGTGTCCAGGCTTGTTTTGCAAAGGCCTCCTTCAGTGAAGGAAACCGAGAGTTGTTGCTGCTGCCGTTGGAATGTTTTTGGGTGATGCACAGTGGAACTCCCACCTGAGAGGCATCCGGGGACCTCACCCGAGAGTTCACCCCCGAGGACTCCGGAGTTTGAGCTACAGTCAACTCTGTAATGTTGGTTCCTCTGGGAACCCTGACAAGTCCAAACTTCCATGGTGACCATTCCAATCTGAGGGCCACGTGGTCCTTTTCAAACTCAAGGTAAGATTCATAGACCTTGCTTATCATGACTGAAAACATCGATGTTTTTAAAAACCAATGCCTTCACCTGACATGTCCGTTTACTCTGCAGAATTCCAGTATAAGCAACTTACAATTTGAAGTATATTAACAATGGAGAACTCACAAGAATCAGAGAAGACATGCACTATCACAGTTGATAAAGAGACTGGTTGAGATAATTGCTGATTCTCCCTTTTAATTTCACAGGGCATGTTCCCATGTTAAATCTAAAATGAAATCTTTTAAAGTATTGACTTCTACAATATCTCTTGTAAATTATCTTAAATGGTGTGCCTTGGGGAGCATAAATAAATAAATAAAATTATTTTAATGGTCTGCCCAGCTTCATTAAATTTCCAATGTAATAAAAGGAGATCAGTATTTTCAGTTGCATAAATATAAGTTTGGATTCATGATCTGCCACTTACTCGTTAGGCAATATTAGACAAGTTGCTGATCTCTGCTGAACCAAAACACTTAATTTACAAATCTAAGTTTGCTGAATTAATTCATAATAGGTTTGGCAGTAGCATGGATATGTAGATGGGCAAAGAATCACGGATTTAAGTAGATTAGCAAACACAAAATCGAACAGTTACTAAGGAGCTGTTAGGATCTTCACCCTCGGTCATAGGGCCAGGCAAATTTTGGTTAAAGGTATGAAGTTGAAGTGCAACTCAAGAGTATGATGCAATGAGACCCTGTGCTGAAGTCAGGGACTGGGCAAAGGCCATTATCGTTGGGCAGAAGTGGACACACACCGCAGGTGTGTGCTCCTGTTGTTCCAATGGTGATAGAACCTTGGTACACTCCACATGCCTGTCTGCCTGTCCATCTTAGCCTCCAAGAAGAGTTTTGTGCAACCACTGCATGATGTTGATGCAGTGCCCCATGTGCACCGGGAGAAAACACTTTCTAAATCTCTATTTTGCCAGGCTGGTGTTGTGGCATGGTGGGCCATGCCTGCAATGCTGGCATCCCATGTGGACACCAGTTTGTGTACCGGCTGCCCTGCTTCCAGTCCAGCTCCCTGCTATGGCCTGAAAAAAGCAGCAGAAGATGTCCCAAGTGCTTGAGCCCTTGCCACCCTTGTGGGAGACCCAGATGGAGTTCCTGGCTCCTGGCTTCAACTTGGCACAGCCCTGGTCTTTCGTCCACTTGGAGGATGACCAGTAGATGGAAGACTGTGTGCGTGCGTGTGTGTGTCTACCTCTGTCTATGTAGCTCTTTCGAAATAAATAAGCGAATCTTTAAAATAAATCAATACATTCCTATTTTGCAAAGCAAACGATGTCACCTTATAAAGAAGCTCTCCTCACAAAGGGAAAGGCACACCTTGCTGGGTAAACTCAGAACTTGCTGGCGCGCTGTGCTTAGCAAGTTTGAGATGGCTCATGTGCTCTCAGTGGAGAAGGCGACCCCAGCACAGCATGTGTAGCGTCACGCTGCTCAGCCTTGAGCTGCCTGCCCCAAAGTGCCCCTTCTCGAATCTCTGCATGTCCTTGATGTAATGAGTGAATTGCTAGGGATGCAGATGGAGTGCCATCAAGATCTCGAAATCCCTCCGAGGTGACCAGATGGCTCCTTCTCACCTTTTAATATTTAATCATGATCCTTGGGCGTGCTCCAAGAATTTTTTTTAAAAAACAGTAAAGTTTGAGCAAAGGCCATTTTCTTACTAATTAAAACAGTAAGTCATCAATAAAATCTACCCCACAATGCTTAAACTAGGATGTTTTTGCTTGAGTGTTTTCTAAACATTATTGTCGAAGACAGACCATCCTTCGGTAGGTGTTTTCTCTGCTGGAATAACATAATTGATCTTAAAGATCCTTCCCAGCTCTTAATTATGTGAGTCGGTGACAGGTTGCTAACACAGAGTCACAGTCAATGAGCAGCACTGGGGGAAAGCTTGACAAAATCTCTACCTTCCAAAACAAAACCAAAGAAAGGGAATGGTAGGGCTCTACTTTCCTTGCTAATGCTATCATTTTGGATGTACTCAGTAGCAAGATCATTGCCAAATATAATTGTCTTAGGCTTCCCGGTGTTGCCACTTCCTTCCGTTTACTCTAGAGAACAAATTTTTAACATCAAATAGCATTTGTTTAAATGAAGGCCATGTGCTTGGGTTATGGGCACATCATGAGGAGCTGTGCTCTTCGTCGTCGGCTTGCATAAAACAGATAAATGCGTCTTGGAGGTCTAAGTAGCAAGTCTTGCTGTGGAAGCATTTAGCTTATCTTTGAAAGGCTATGATTCACTCTGAGTAGTTAGCATTTCATGCTTATTTAGTCAACCATTTGCATCAGCAGGTATTTTTTTTTTTAATTCTTATCTTTTTTCTCCCATCAAGTAATTTGGTCTTCATCAGTCAGTTGTCTGTTCTATGGTCCAACAGGCATGTGAGAGAGTGTATTGTTGGGATGGAGGTAGACACAGGAAACTCAGAAATGAATAACATAGTTCCTGTCCCAAAGTTGTACACAATCCAGCAGGATCACAGTTGAGTGATGTTATAACCCGAGTGCAGTATAACAGAAGTTTTTTTTCATGGTGATAGAATCCTATACTGAGAGCTCTAGATACTCAGAGGTGGGACAAACCTGGGGGAGGAGTTTGGAAACTGAACTGCTGAGTGAAGTAGAGAGAAGTTTTCTAACAACCAAGGACTAAGCACTAAGACAGATGAGGACTGACAAGGCTGAGTGGTGCTGGATGGTGTTCCTGGCCGACAGAGAGATGGAGTGCCTTCACAGAGCGCAGAGCGCATTTGGAGTGCGCTCTCCTCTTTGGTATGGCAATGACGTGCGTCCCGGGGATGCTGAGAGCAGAAGGTAAGGCTTCATCTCCTATCTAAAATGTGGTATCCCAGGAACCGGCAATATGTTGCACACTTATGTTTTTTATGTGAGAATGCTTTAAAAAATAGAACAAAGCAACAGAAGGCAAAGTTGTTAACTGAGAGAAGGAAACCTTACAGACGACGAGAGAGCCGGGGGGTCAAGACAAACGCAGAT